CGGCTCCGGGGGAGGGTCAGATCGGCCACCGGCGGCTGGCGGCGGCGGCCAGGCTGGCGGGTGGCCCCTCGCCGTGGAGAACGGGCAGGCAGGGGCTTGGAGCGCCGGGCTGCTCCCCGATCGGTCCCCTCGGGCCCAGCCGCTACCGTTGCTCTTCCCACGACTCAATCCCGTCAAGGGGTTGTCAACCGGTGGCGACCCGGCCGGGGGGGACCGGCTTCCCGGTGTTGGCGGGTCCCTCCCCCACCCCGTTTGTTTACGTCCCGGGGCCAACCCGCAAGCCCCGCGCTCTTTTGTGTGTCTGCTGCGTGGAAAGTGACTGCGGAGCTGGATCTGTCCCCTGTGTTTGCGCCCGGGGTCTTCCCCGGGAAGGGGTTGTGGGGGAAGCTTTGGAAAGGGGGAAACTTGGCTCGCGGGGGACGCCGGTGGGTCGCGCGGAGCGTGGGATCGGCCCCGGAGGAGGGGGAAGGTCCGGGAGGAAGGCTGCAACTTTCCACCGAGTGCAGGCCCCTGCGTGACCCGGTCTCAGGGCGCTTTTCCTCCGGGCTCACGGATCGGTGCAGACAGACTTAGCTGCGCGTCTCACGGACTTCCACGGCTCCCCCCTCGGTGACCCGTCGCTTGCATCACTCCAGCCCCTCACTCTCCTTCGCCGAGGGGTGTGTTCTGTGCTCTCCGCTAAGGGGCCCCAGGAGCTATGGAGCGCGCGGCAGGTCCGCTGCGAGCTGCCTTCTCCAGCCCGGTTCTCGAAAGCAAAGCCCCGGGGGCCCCGCTGGACTGTGCGGAGACTGACTGTGGTTCCCCGTCTCCTCGAGGGGATGGGACCGGGGCTTCCCATTCCGCGGCGGAGCTGCCCGCGTGCCCAGAGGATGGTATCCTGCCTGCCACCCCTCATCTGAACCAGCTGCTCGCCCTCGGGGCCCTCCCTGCTGGTGCTGGCTCCGCGTTCGCGGCTCCGGGACAGCCCCGGGAATCTGCCAGGTGGATGTGGTGCGTAGCCGGAGCCAAGTTGAAGGTGAGCGGCGAGTGAGCCCGCAGAGCTTTGATCTTTGGGGGACACTGGAGAGTGGGGACAGTCTTGTGGTCCAGAGCCGCAGCCTTGCATAGTGTGTGTGTGTGTGTGTGTGTGTGTGTGTGAGATGTTCCATAACATCTCTAGGGAACCGCCTTTGCTCCAGACTCTAAAGTGTGCTTGAACGTGAACTTGAGTGAACTTCCCTAACCCACCCATAGCACCCTTAGGAGTCGGGAACAAGCGAACTCCATATGTAGGCCTGCGGGAAGCGGAGCCGACTGGACTGAAACGTACATAAGTGGAGGGAAACAACTTGAATGGTGCTTGCTTTTTCTGCCCTTGCCTACGTGAGGAAGATAAGGCAGACTCATACTCGTTATGAAATTTCCTCCCATTTCTCTCGTAACTAAGGAAGACTATGTGAAATATGTATTTCTGATAAGATTAAAACTTAAAGAAGTTCGAGTATTTATTGACTAAAATGGATTACTCCATAGTGTCTATTGTGTAAATTAGATTCCTGAATGTAATGATCACAGCCGGATGGCATTTTTTGATTAATTGGTCTACCCTATTTTAGTAAAAATAGCTCCCTTTTACCATAATTTAATTCCTGTGCTTACTGTAAAACCCGTTGTGGAGTTCTAAGAAACAAACCTTAATTTTCACCACCACCCCCACCCCCACGTGACACCCTACTTTAATATCAGTAAAGTCCCTTTATTAAGCATTCCTGAAGAAGGCCAGAAAAAAAAATTTGTTTTCTTGAGAATTATTAGATTTTATGAACTTATATATTTTTGCAGCCCCCCACCCCCTTACATTGATTAGCTTTCCTTGGGGGATCTTGAGGACATTTTACCACATGACCTCATTGAACATTTCCCTTATGGTTGACATGAATGAACTTAATGTGGATCTTAAAACAGCAACAGCAAACAAAACCCTTTGTTTAAGCTCTGCTCCTGCTGCAGAGCTTATTGGCTTTCAGGAGATAACAAATTGGCCTGAGGTCGGTTCAACTGTGTCACTCACTGGATGGCAAGTTTGAAAGCCTTACTTGAACTTGGAATGCCAAAGGTCAGGTATGATTCTGGACTGCACCTTTATCTGGGAACTTAGGTCCAGGGTTTTTGAGTTGGTGTCTGGTTGAGGGTCCTCTCTTCTCACCGATGTGGAGCCGGAGGTTTTGGGTGAGAATTCTTAGCTCCAATTGACTGAAAGTGTAGGTCTTCACCGAGTCTGCGGGATTGGTTTAGGTTTTGGTAAGATGCAGCAGGACCCTGCGCCCCTTCATCGTCCTGGCGGACTATGTTCTTATGCCCCTGCTTCTTGGGTCTTCAGACCACTTTGGGACTTGGAGTGGATGTCTGCCCCTGAAGAGAGTTTCTGAAAACTGGCCTGTTTCCTTTCTTCTCCTCAGCCAAGGCTTGTGCTGTGCAGTTAGCGTCCACTGTTGCTAAGACTAGTTAGACAAGTTTCGATACCGACCCAGACTTGTGAAAACCAAACTTTTTTTAATAAGAAAAACACCACTGTATACATTTATCTCTCAAATACATGTTTGAAAAGAAGTGTGTTTAAATCTCGTTACATGTTTTCAAGTTAGTGGAACTCTGAATATTCTTTCGATGGGGCCTGCCTGTGGCTGCCTCGGTCTGGGGCGTTTTCTGTTCCCCTTGGAGAATTCCCTGCAAAAGTGAACTTCAAAACTCTTCTCTCCCCAAATTAGAAAACCAGTTCAGTTTTTGCTGCAAATCTGTTTTCTGGTTGCTTTTGTTTTCTCCTCCTATGGACGTGCTCAGATTTGTGTGTGTGTGTGTGTGTGTGTGTGTGTGTGTGTGTGTGTGTGTGTTTCCAGCAGCCCAACACTGCTCCTTGAATAAGTATATAATTTCAATTAAAATACCCCACTTAGTGCCTTTGATAGGGTAATGAATGAGCAAATGACGCAGGGCACTCCTGGTTTTCTTTTCTTGGTTCTTTTAATATAGGTGTCTTGAGAGACTGGGTGTGGGAAGGGTTATTATCAGTTGCTTAAAGCTTTTGCCTGGGTGAAGCCCTTTTTTTTTGAAAGGCACAAGTCAGTGCAAGGATAAAATAATGCAGTGACTCTTGATGCGGTCGGGCGCACTGAAGCCCTCTGGCCTGTGTCTTCTTGTCTTCTATCAGTACTCAGGTCCAAGCTGGAAAGGGGAACCAACAGCTCCGTCTACCCGAGAATTTTTCTCTCCTGATCCACCGAGTAGACCTGCCATCTGCTCAACCCCACGGAGCCCAAGACTTTAATAGTTTTAAAAGTCCCTTCTTTGTTGATAGTCAAGGAAGAGAAAACTATCAGTGTGTGGGAGCTTGCCACTGATGGTCAAGGTTTTTCCTGAGATTGTTAAAAAAAAAAAAAAAACAAGGCCAGAGAGAAGTCCTACGTTTCCATTCCATAGTGAAATGAAGGAAAGATAGATTTGTTAGGGGAAAATCTGTATATTGCTTTAGGAGAATTTCACCATATGAAAAATCTCCGTTCTTGCCCTTCGTTCCTTTTATAGTTTCCGAAAATTTTACGTATCTTGCTGGGCCATAATATGAATGCCCTGTCAAGTTATTGTAATAAGTTATTCTGCTGTATAGAATTGTGAGTGACTATAGGAATTATTTTAAATTTATTTGAAATTTAATACGTAGCTTTAAAGTATAAATGCCCTTCCCAAGAAAAGTCTGATTTTTATTAGTCATTGTCAGCGGCAGAAATGTGTCTACCTCGTCTTTTTGTTTTGTCTGAAGCTCTGGGTTATTGCTGCCGCAGAGAGATAGTTTTGGTTTCAATTGAAATTCCCCTGCCTCTGATTGTTTAAACCAGACCCTTAATCTTATTTTAACATATTTTAACCATTCCAAAAACCTGGAAGACTTGTTTTGTGTAAGTAGCAAGTGAATGTAGTTTAAACACTCCAGCAATTCTGGTATCTAATTGGAAACAGGTGGGACTCTTGGACTCTTTCGTGTGAGTCTGACCGGAGCCAAGTGGAGGGACACTTACTGCTGGTGGTGATTCATTTTGTTGGTGCTATGTGAAGAGAGACCCACAGCCTCTCTTTGCCCCATACTGCTCTTTACCTGGACATCCTAGTCAGGCCTGAGAGAAAAAAGATGTCAGTGGCCACACTGGATAAATGGTGTTTTTGGTTTTTCAGAGACAGGGTCTCTCTACATGGCCCTGGCTATCCTGGAACTCACCATGTAGACCAGGCTGTCCTGAACTCAGAGACTCACCTGCCTCAGCTTGCTGAGTGCTGGGATGAAAGGCACCCATCTCTACTCTTGGCTTATCCATGATTTACAGTTTATGATAGCCTGATGGTGATTTGAGTTCAGGGACAAGTTACTTTGCCTAAAAATTCTACATGTAGTGAAAGATTTTTTTCATTGAAAGCCTTAAAATTTTAACTTGGTCTGGGGTGTATTTCACTAACATACCAGTGCCAGAATCCCCTGAATTCTGCCATTTTCCTGTTTCAGGTTTTGTGGGTATGCTCCTGAAAGCCAGTTGGTGGCCTTGACCTTCTGTCTGTTCCAAATTAGGTTTTGCTGTGTGTGTGTGTGTGTGTGTGTGTGTGTGTGTGTGTGTGTGTGTGTACTGAATTCTCCAAGGATCATTTGGAGTTGTTGGTCTTGCTCATGTTTCGAGTTGCTTTGGGTTCCACTTTTTAAATTATTTAATTAATTTATTGGTAGGATCTCTATAGCGCAAGACGGCCTCACACTCACAGAGACCTGTCTGGCTCTGCTGACTAAGTGCTGGGATCACAGGCGTGCGCCACCACTGCCCAGCTAGCCCTGTCTCTTTATGCTGGGTTCTGAGGAAGTTGGTGAGAAGAGCACTGTTTGGCAGGGGAGGAAGTGTCCTGCAGGAAGGGATTTGGGATTGGGAGAACCCGTGCTATTGGTTTCGGGCTGCTGCTGGACCAAGAATTCTTCTGAGTCCTAAAAAGTGCTGTGGTACACATTGTTCGCGTTATTAAATAACACAGTTAAAAAAATCTGAGGAGGAACACAGACTTTTGAAAGATGTCTTGTTTGTTGTAGACCTCTTCAGAATTTTTAGGGCTATGCCTGGCATGGTGGTACATGCCTTTAATCTCTGAGTTTGTGGCCAGCCTAGTCTACATAGTGAGTTCCAAACGGACCAGGGCTACATGGTGAGATGCTGTCTGAAAAACAGACAATCAAACAAAAGAATTTTAGGGCTCTAGATGTCGGGTAGAGGGATTGCCTAGTATCTGAGAATGAAAAGGTCCCATCGCCAGCACCGGAGAATGGTACAGTAAATAAAGAATGCCGATTTCTTCATTTTCATCTGAATTGTTTTCCTTACTATTGGAGGCCGCAGGCATTTGGCAGGAGTTGTGTGTTTAATAGAGCCCTGGGCCATGGGAAGTGGGATAAAAGGATGTGGGGATGGAGGGGGTGTCTTTCTAGAGAGGAAAGGTAATCAGACAAGAGGCCCCTGGGAAGACACACTGCAGAACAAGGAAGCAGTAGCCGCGCAGGAGATTCACACTGAGTAAAACTGACTAGGTTCTGCTTCCTTCCATTAAAGCTTCCTTGAAGCAGGCCACACCTTTCTAAGACACCAGAGTCTGCAGCCCCGGCTGCCTCCATTCACCCTCGTTTGAAATCGAGGATGCTCTGAAGTGTTTGATTTATGCAGTTAATGCTGAAGGAAACTACCAGAGCTTAAACTCTGAACTGCCAAGTAGCTGGGTCTTCTTTTCACATTACCTTGAGTGATGCTGCAGAGTCATTCTGTCCGGCCGTACTTGCTCAATAAGGAAATGCAGTTAATGTTGTCAAAAGTTGTCTGGGATTGCTTGCAAGGCATCCCAAGTTTGGTTAAGGGAGAAACAAATGGACAAATTAGCCCTTTCTTAAGTGAATATTGCAACATGTCGAGCAATGGAATGCCGTTCATACCCTCATTAAAATAAATTTAGGTCCTGACA